TTTTAGTACCCTATGTTTTCTATAGGTTTTAAAGCCCCCTATAGGTCACCAGTTGAGCGATATGGAGGATGTCTTGTGCTAGAATTATTGCTCTTTCCGGTGTGCATGGCGATATGTAACGTGTATCTCAATTGATGTTTGTATGCATAGGCGCCCCGACGTGCGTTTATATTTGTGCGTATATGTGGAGGAGGGGGTTATGTGCTTGGGTGTAACTTTGTAATTCATTTTACAAATAAAAAAAAACATTTTTTTTTACCTTTTTTTTATCACATAGGGGCAAAAAAAAGTCCCCTATGTCAGGGGTGGGCAACTGTGGCCCTCCAGCTGTTGGAAAACTACAAGTCCCATCATGCCTCTGCCTTTGGGAGTCATGCTTGTAACTGTCAGTTTTGCAATGCCTCATGGGACTTGTAGTTTTACAACAGCTGGAGGGCCACAGTTGCCCACCCCTGCCGTATGTGATGATTTTTGGTGACAGATTCTCTTTGCGACATCCAGGGTCTAAAAACCCTGCATGTCTCCCCTGTTCTCCATTGAAAGAAATGCAGTGCAGATCACACTGCATCACATACATTCTTTCCTGGCTTTAATGGCTGTGAAATTTGTCAAAGGGGATTGGGGGATTAGGCCCACATGAGGGCTGGGTAGTGGTCAGGGCAGCAGTCCCGACCAAATGCCAGCTCTTAGGGGGTGCAATGGTCCGCCAGAACCACTTGGCTTAACTGAAATTGTAAAATAATGAAACAGATAATAAGGGCTAAATAATTCCACCGACAAATAGCTTTCAATTGGTATATCAGGATGTGGGTTCCACAGTAATGAAGTAGCATAAAAAATAGTGACCTAGAGGACCCACAGACAGTGATCTGGTAATGGGTCCGTCTCATGAAGTAGAGACGGACTCCTGACAGAGGACCTATGCCTATCAAAGCCAAAAGTCAGCAATAAAATAAGGTCAGAATAACAAAATGGTCCTGCCATTGGAATGGAAGTTACTACAATTAGGGTATCATGCCGTCCTGGTACTTACAAACCAGGAGCATGGCCAAAAGGCAGCATAGTGACAATGTCTTTTGTAGAAGGGAGTAATAGATGGAACCATCAGAATTCGTAAGGTCATCCCACAGAGACTTCCTGGAAACGTTGAGCTTGTAAAGGCCAAAGAGTTTGGGAGCTGCTCTGGGACGGAGGAGGCGATTTGCGTGATGATTGTGAACTCAAGCGGGCCGGAATGGGTGCTGCTTCAGCCTGCGAATGTGGCAGTTCAAGCTTTAATTTCTGAAAATGGCGGTGCAGGTCCGCAGGAGAGGATGCTTGGAACTGGTTGCCTTCATAGGAGAATGAAGGCTTGAACGGGAATCCCCAACGGTATTTAATACCATTAGATCGTAACATTTGTAGATAGGCTTCAAGGTGTGGTGCTTTGCTATTGTTACTGGAGACAAATCAGAAAATAGCTGCAGGGAGTTTCCCTGCAAGTCAAGCGCCTGTCGGTCCTGGGCTGCCTGTAAGAGACGTTCTTTAGTGCGGTAATAATGAAGTTTAATAATAATGTCCCTTGGAGGGCCCTCTGTAGGTTTAGGAGCAAAGGCTTTATGAATGCGATCAAATTCTAAATGCTACAAAGGGATTTCAGGAGCAAGTTCTTGAAAGAGGGCTGTGACGGTACCTTGCAAATCAGTAATAACCTCAGGAACACCGCGTGTACGCAGATTATCCCTGCGAGTTTTCTGCATCTTCCAGTTTATCCTTTTAGGGTGTCTAATTCAACATGCAAATCTTCCACCTCCTCTTCATGGCCCTCCAGCACAGTAGTCACTAAGTCCATGCGTATTAATTGATGGGCCCGGTGTCCCAGCTCTTTAAGGCCTCTAACCAGATCAGAGGAAAGTTTATGGGAAGCAGTTGTGATCTCCTCCCGCACTATAGAGCGAAAACTTGTGAAGGAGGGCTTCAGGGCTTTGCTCAGGAGGGCTGGTCAGTACAGAGGGAAACTGTTGCAGGCTATCCTCACCCGAGTCAGGATCTGCAGCCAAGAGCTGCGTGGTGTCATCCGGCTCATTGGGGTTGGTGCCATCTTGCCTGTTTGCAGGAGCGGAGAGGCACTTTCTTGCGCCTGGTGTTTGGGCTTGTTTTTCGGGGTGGGATGCTTCTCCCTACGTTGCCAAGGTGTCTGGGGAGTACTGCCTGCAGCAGAAGCTGCGGTGGAGGGACAGAAGAGCCTGATATGCTGAGGGCTAGGTTCTGGCAGCGCAAAGCTGGAGCATTAGGCTGCCATCCTCTCCGGCTGCACACGTGCACTCCCAATATCCCAGGAGTTCAAATGACTTGATGCTATACTCTGATTAAAAAGTGTTCCTTTTAGTTTTTTGAGCATTGTATATTTGATTTGACTGAAAATTGGTCTGGCCTGTGAGCCGTGCTAGTTCGACCAATAAAAAAATAAGAAAAACAGCTGCAAGCATGCTAAGCTATATTTGCCTTAGCCTCAAAACTCTGTAAATAATGTGCTGCGCTTCAATAAAACAAAGTGCTTATTGTGCACATATAAAGTAAATCGTGAAATATTAACTAAAAAAAAGGTAAATAAATGAAGAAAAAAAGTCCACTTTTAATTGATGTCCATTTATCAGTCTCGATATTCCACTCAAGGACCAAAATAGTTTAGTACATTCCACACCAGTAAAGCAAGCAGTCCCAGGGGTAGGCTTACCAAGGCTCACCTGAATCCCATAACCCAGGACAGTGGATGTTATTCCACTGCACAAATTGGTGTCATCTGCAAAGACTGAAATGGGATTTATAATCCCAGACCCTATATTATTTATAATATATTAAAAAGTAAGGGTCCCAACACTGAACCTTGGGGTACACCACTGGCAGCCCTACACCATTCAGAGTATGAATCATTAACCACTACTCTCTGAATACGATCTTTTAGCCTGTTTTCTTTCCATATACATACAGATTTGTCCAAGCCTTTAGACTTTACCTTACACATTAGCTGTGTGTGGGGAACTGTGGCAAATGCTTTTGCAAAATCCAAGTATACCACGTCCACTGCCACCCTTCTGTCCGAGGTTTTGCTCACCTCCTCATAAAAAGAAATCAGATTTGTTTGACAACTTCTGTCTTTCATGAATCCATGCTGTCTGTTGCTTAAAATATTTTTTTCCAGCAAGAACTCATCTATGTGGTCTTTTATTAAACTCTCCAGTATCTTCCCAACTATAGAAGTTAAACTAACAGGTCTATAATTACTTAGTAAAGATTTTGACCCCTTTTTAAATATTGGCACCACGTTTTGTGTTTTTTTTTTTTTTTAGCGCAAATGTTTGGAAAATGTGGAAAAAAAATGTAAATTTTTTTTTTTTTTTGTACTCAAAGCTGTCAATTAATAAGATATTTCTAATACACAGCATAGGCGTACTTAGAATTACAATTTAAAACACAATCTGCTACTCCTCCCAAGTATGGGGATACTACATGTGTGAGACTTTTTCACCTTGCCAGAGAGGCACAAAATGCAAGAAGCACCTTTAAAGGATAAGTTCACTTTTTAGAAACAAAAAATATTAAATGCACATTTGTTTGTAGGTAAAAAAATTAGCGTTTAGTATTTTTTGTCTGCAGGAGCCTGGAAAGCATTGCACCAGCAATCAGTAGATCGCTGATGCCATGCAGGTCTCCTGCAGACCTGTCAGAATGTCTGCTTGCCATATGGGATGTATGAGCAAGCAGATGTTCTGACAGGAAGAATGAATTAACTACCATGGAGCTTCATAGAGGGGGCGGAGACAGGGGGTACCTGCAGGAGAGGTGCAAGGGTCACATGAAATGGCCTGGAGGGTCGGATTCGGCCCACGGGCCTTGTGTTTGACACCTGTGCTTTTAAGGCTTTCTAAGGACATAAATTATGCATCTAATTTCCTGACTACCTACCTATCACATTTTTGGAGGCCCTGGAGAACCAGGAAATTGCAAACAATTGGGGACACTGGCTTTGTTGAATCTGGTACTGGTATGGTGGTGATCAGGATGCTGATATGGTGGGCACTCTGAACGGAGGAGGCGCTGAGATTGCTGGCGGGGTACCCCAGAAGAGGAAGACAGGGACCGCTCTGAGCATTACAATTGCACAGAGTGGATAAATATAACATGTTTTTTATTTTAGGAAAAGTAAAGCTGAAGCATTGCAATCACTTTAACCAGTTCCCGTCCGGCCCATGTATGTATCTGTGAATGATCACAGAGGTCACATGGTACAAGGCTATTCACAACAGCCTTGTACCATGTGACAAGCTGTGACCAATCACCGCTCTCACAGTATTTCTCAATGGCTGCAAGAATGCAGCCAGAGAGGAGGAGAAATGATTACTTTTACACCCATAAAGGCTGTAAAAGCAATCAGTGTATTGTAAAAAAAAAAAAAAAATCTTCACCCCCCCACAAGTAGTACAGTGTCACTATGGTGACACTGTACTACTAGGCTGACAGTATGTTAAAAAATACTTTTTTAATACAATATATATTTTTTTTAATTATAATTTTTGGTTAGAAACTAATTTGGGTTTTTTTTTTTTTTTACTAAAAAGATAGCTGAATACATTTTGGCCAAGATTTATGAAGAAATATTATTTATATGCAAAATTTTATAAGAACACTTTTTAAAAATATTTTTGGACATTTTCATTTATATAGCAAAAAAAATAAAAATACCAGTGGTGAATAAATACCACCACCAAAAAAATTTTTATCTGTCTCAAAAAAATGATAAAACATTCATAGGGGTACAGTGTTGCATGACCACACAATTGTCATTCAAAAGTGTGACAACGCTGAAAGCATAAAATTGGCCTGGACAGGAAGGGGGTAAAAGTGTCCGGACTTGAAGTGGTTAATAACATATGATAATATTTGGCATGACTTTTATTATTGTCCTTTGGTGGTTTTGATATTCTAAATATTTTTTTTTTTTTTTATCTTTAAATGTTTCTAGGCGCAGGATGCTCTGAAGAAGTTTGCAGCAAATGTGACAACAGCCAGTGTGAAAGAACGCAGACAAATTCTCAGTGAATTAAAAGCATGCATTTCTACAAGAGGTGGGTGCAATAATTCATAATAATACTCCAACCAGACATCTTTAGTATTACTTACAAAATAGCTATGAAAAAAAGAAACAGAAAAAAAAATTATTTTAGCGAGAGAATCTTTTATTTAACCTCCTCATTACTGCTCCATAGCCGAAAGATGGCTACAGCACAGTTCTCTCGTTCTGGGAAGGTATCTATGGACCTCCAGAATGCACCTCACGCGCGCTCTGTGACTGCTATGTCATTTGGACACATCTGATCACAGTAAAGGGCCTATCACAGTGGCCCTTTACCATGTGATCAGCTATGTCCAGTCACAGCTGATCACATGTAAACAGATTGTCTGTTATCAGTTTTTCCTTTCCTCACTACTGTCATTATGTGAGGAAAGTAAAGCCAATAACTGGCAATCCTGACAGCACTTTGTTTACATGGACAGTCAGGGCACTGGTCATCAGTGGCCTGATGATCAGTGCAGCCACAGCAGTGCCCATCTGTGCTGCCCATCAGAGCAGCTGATTAGTGCAGCCTCACTACTGCTCATCAGCGCACATCGGTGAAGAAGAAAAATTAGTTATTTGCTAAATTTTTATAACAGAAACAAAGAAAAAGTTTTTTTGTGTTTTTTAAGCAAAAAATAAAAAACCCAGTGATGATTAAATACCATCAAAAGAAAGCTCTAGCTGTCTCAAAAGATGCTTGATATGGGTACAGTGTTGCATGACTGCGCAGTTGTCTTTCAAAGTGTGACAGTTCTGAAAGCTGAAAATTGGCCTGGGTAGGAAGGGGATGAAAGTGCCCAGTATTGAAGTGGTTAAAGAGAATACCCATGGCACCATGTGACCAGTAACATGTATCAGGAGTAACTGCTGGTTTATAGGAAACTTCAAGCAAAATACATAATGCAGTTATAAACAAGCAATTACCTGTTCACTTGTGTCCTGCTTTTTATTTAGATTATATTTTATATTTATTCAAAAATAAAGTTGAATACTTTTCTTGAGTCTATATCCGTAGATAAATGTTGTCTTAAAGTGGAAGTAAACCCACTTTGGAAACTTTTAGCTACAGGTAATCCTTTAATAAGGCTTACCTGTAGGTCCTGTAAATATCTCCTAAACGTGCACCGTTCAGGAGATATTTACTGTAGGATGATGTGCCGTCCATTGAGAGAGCCGTTCCATGCCCGAAACTCCCTTCGCACATTTGAGGGAGTGATGACATAGCAGCTCAGCCAGTCAAGTAGCCGCAGCTTGTGAACCTGAAAAGAGCTGTGACGGCGCTCCACTGGAGGGCTTCGTTTTCAGGTAAGTCTTTAAAATCTGCTAGTATGCGATGCATACTAGCACATTATGCTCTTAACTTGCAGGGAGAGTTTTTTTAGAATGTTTTGGGCAGTTTACTACCGCTTTAACAAACTTACCACTGCACACCTTGTTATTACATTTAGAAAAACCTCCCTCATCAGTTTTAACTTTCCCTGGGCTGTGGGGAGCTGGTTTGTAAACCGTAAACTTAAAGCTGAACTGCCAATAGCTGTACACTGTAAACTGCTTAAAATACTGTTGGATGGACTCACTAAAGACTGTGCAGTTGCACTAATTTTCTCCAAGTCTTAGTAAATGTGGTAAAGCTCTGCCGAAGCTTTACCACTAAGCTCTTGGAAAAATGAGTGCAAAGTGCACAGTTTATTTGCATTTAGTAAATCTACCCCTATACGGTATATCTTTCTTTCACAATATTTTTATTGAAAAAATAGATTAAAGTGAACAGCGTACAGAACATGCAAAAATAAGGCTCAGCCTAATATACATGTAAAAGTTTCAGGGCTCTAATGCCGCTACAAGGACAGGCTGTAACATGTGAAACAAAATTAGGACGCAGAATGTTAATTTCTTCAATCTCTGAAGTAGAAAAAGCAACATAATATACTAAGCAGCACTGAGATTGGCAGACCAATACTTCAGTAGGTAGGGTTCTAATTGACATAAAAAAGGCAGCCAATGCAGAGTCCATCCTGTCCAATGGCTGGTCAATAGCCAGTTAAAAAATGGAACATAACAGCATGAGGATGTACCCAAGCACCCATATATATCTCAAAAGATTTGTAATGCTGTCCAGCAAGTTTTGTGATCTAGGCTCCCCTGCCCAACAACACAGCTAGGTCGTACACTCTATGGGATCTTCCTGCAAAACACATTGCTGTTGATCAATGCAGCTTGGTATAGAACCAGCGCCAGCCTGTGATTGGACAGGAGAGGAAGAGTGGCACACTGATAAGTATGTCACTTTGCTCTCTCCTTCTTTTAGAAGATTCTCAGCGATAGATGAACAAAATTGTCCAGTGTAGTAAAAGATGATGGGCTTCATCTGCTGACCTTTCCTCTCCCATTCAGAGTGTTTCTGTGTAGACGATTAGAGAAGGCTGACATGCGGTGGATTCGTAAAGTATTCAGACCCCTTTCACTTTTTTTTAATTTTATGTTGCAGCCTGATAGTTGTTTTAATTCATTGTTTTCCCTCATTAATCTACACTCAGTACCCCATAATGACAAAGTAAAAACAGAATTTTAGAAATGTCTATGAATTTATTAAAAAGAAAAACTGAAATATCACATTGGCATAAGTATTCAAACCCTGTGCTCAATACTTTTGTTGAAACGCTTTTGGTGGCAGTTTGAACCTTGAGTCTTTTGGCGAAGACGCAACAAGCTTTGCACACCTGGATTGGGGGATTTCTGCCATTCTTCTTTGCAAATCTTCTCAAGCTCAGTCAGGTTGGATGTGGACCGTCGGTGGATAGCCATTTTCAGGTGTCTTAAGAGATGTTCAATAGGTTTCAAGTCAAAGCTCTGGCTCGGTCACTCTATGACATTCACATAGTTGTCCCTAAGCCACTCCTGTGTTGTCTTGGTTGTGTGCTTAAGATCATTGTCATGGCTTGAACCTCACTATCTGTCTATAGATGAAGGAAGTGCAGTTTAGGCTTGAGACTGCAGGTGTGCCACAATAGGAAGCGGCTTCCTTTGGTGGCACACCGAGAGGAGGAAGAGCTAGGAGTGCCAGCAAGGAACCTCAAAAGAGGAGGTTTGGGGCCTCTTTGTGCAATACCATTACAGAGAGCAGGTAAATATAACCTGTTTTTTATTTTTAAAAGAAAAAAAATACATTATAAATGCTTTTAAACCTTGCTTAACTGCGAGGGGGTATGCCTAGGAGGGGTCTTCCTGTCTCTTCTTGCCATTGTCCAGTCACCTGAATGTGACAGCATAACCCTGTTGTAATGGGGATCAAAATACCCTGTGTTCTCTGATGTACTACAAGAAAAGGATTTTACAGGTAAACTAAAAAATGCAATTTTTATGGCAAGCATTGATCTGAAACTTACACTTATTTTAATAACTTCTTTTATGACCTTGGAGCTACTATTGATAGTATATTCAGCTCTTTATTTGTAGATAACTCCTTTTGAGCTATTTATTGTTGCACAAGCCTCATATTTAGTGGTAATTTGGTCTGTTAACAGTATTGCATAGATATCATATTGTAATGTATCTGTCATGCTTGAAAGAACTGGGTTAAATTTAATTTATGTACTCCCGGCATTTGTACGTCATTGGGAATCAGACTTAAATAGGCAGTTTTCACCTCAACAAGTCGAAAAAATTCTCCTTTTGGCCCGCAAATCATCAGTTGCTAGCCAGTATCAAGAAATTGGTTATAAAATACTCTCTAGATTGTACTGGGTACCCTACGTGCTTCATAAAATGATTAGCTCAGTTTCTGACAAGTGCTGGTGGTGCAACAGAGTGGTGGGAACGTCTCACATTTTTTGGTACTGTCCCTACTCGAGACCCTTTTGGGAGGAGGTGACGATGACCATAAAAAACATTTGATGAAAACAAAAGACATCTGATCGGCTGCATTCCAAACAATCCACGTTATTGAACCAAGAAAAAACCAATACAGACAGTGGATTGTTCTCATCTATACAGCACACGAGCTGGGCTAGCACCTACAGGAGGAGTTGTGCTTGGAGATTGGGAGTCTCTCTACCTTGAGCAGCGGTAAACACATAAAGCATTTGACATCTGTCGACCTGAGAGAGGATCTGGCAGCATGTTTACTCCATCTGATGAAAAGACCCATCTGGAAATACAAGAAATCTCTTAGCATTTGCCTACTCAATGCTGCGAAAGCTTGCATTCACGCTCTGTGGAAGCAGTCCTTCTCCTCCACCAGAGTCCTGTGGTATTCCAAAGTTAATGATCTCCATCATATGGAGGAACTAACAGCCACCCACCATAATTCGGAAGAACAGTTTAGGGAAATTTGGAGGCCCTGGAGGTAGTTTACCTGCACAGAAGCTTACCTACAGGAGGTGGCCTGATCTGAGTCGAGCTGAGATGCTCCATCTGTCCCAATCCTTTTCTGTGGTGAGCCCCTCCTGGCGCGTGACATTCACTTTATTTTCCCCCTCCTTTTTCTTTTTTTTCTTTTCTTTCACCTCATCTTACTTCTGTGTATCTTCTCTCTCATCTGCTACAGTACATAAAATGGTTGACTTCTGTATTATAGGGTTTATTACTTTTTGTGTAAATTTGGCACTGATCATTTCAGCAAACCTGTTATTGTATGTATATTATTCCTGTTTGATGTTAACTAAGCTCTCATTGGTTCGGTTCTGCAGTGTACGCTAAGCTGTACAGAATACTTTACCGAGATGACCTCTCTCTTCATGACTTATTTTTCCCCATTTTGTACTTGAAGTTTGGAAACATACATGGTTGTTGCTGTCTTGACATGTTGTATATGATGAGAATCTTTGCCAAAATAACCAAATAAACAATATAGAAAGAAATCATTTATGTGAGAGTAACTTTTTGCTGCTGTTTGGCTCAGTAAATACTGGAACTATTTTTACTGAAAAATATAACTCCTGAAAACACACCCTGTTAGTGTTGGATGTCTGGACTGCTATTTACTGCAGACAGAGCATTTTCTTTGTAGTCTTACTATTTTTTCTTCATCTTTGCAGATCTGCCAGAAGCTGCTGTGAAAGGTCTCTGCAGATTATTCTGCCTAACATTGCATCGATACAGGTAGGTTTGCTGAAAGTGTTACATTTGGTTGTCTTAAAAGGGTGATTTTATTTAAATCTAAATGTGCTTTACAGAGATGCAGCATCCCGTCGAGCTCTGCAATCTGTCATCCAGCAGCTGGTGGAGTCCCAGCCAGATGTAACAGCTAAAAATCTGCTACAGTCACTCCAGGCATTTGGGGTGGGAAACAAAAGTGTAGAACCCAGGTAAATTGTACCATATCATACCACTACATTGACTTTAGACTATTGATTTCACAAGAATTTTCATTCATTCATCTATTCATTTATTTTTCAGCAAAAGCAGTGGTTCTGCAGCAACCTTAGCCTTGGCATGGACTTGTGTTGTTTCCAGGGTTGTGTTTTCTGTCCCCGAGAAACAACAGGGGGAAACGTGGAATAAACTGGTACGTAATTTCCATGCATCCCAGGTTATATAGTAGGTAAGAAAATTAATTAAAAGTAGTTATCAGTAGCCCCGTTACCAAAATCAGCTTATAGCAATCAAGTGAGAAAATTGCTGGCTTATGGTTAGAAGAAAGCTGATTTGTGGTTGGAAGATGCACTACACTGCTGTTTGAACTTTGTTATTAAATAAACAAAATATTACCGAGAGTTTTATGTACTTGAAGTTTCAGAAAGTGAGAAAACATTATTTTTCTGCTGTTGTTTACTTGTTGGATTTGTTGTAGTATGGTTAAAACATTGATAGATGGCTACACCTTGTGGCCAGCATGCTTTGGATATAACCGAAACAGTGAAGGTGCAAGTGCATGGCTCTATACATCTACTTATTTACTGTAATTCAACAAGGGATCCACAGGCAAAATGCCTAAAGATTGGCCAAAAATTGTTCACAATCTTGCATGTTTATCAAGCTTGCTTTTTTTGTTGCACAAAACCACAGGTTTTCAGTGTGCAGCATAACAACCTTGGGCATAATGCAGGCCAGATGCTGATGTTCTAACAATTACATCACTGGTTGATAAAGAGTACATCAGGCAACTGCACAGCATCCTTGTTTGTCCCTTCACTGCCCCTCTCTGCCACCTCTGGGATCATGTTGGCAGCACAAGGGAGAGAAACTAAGGGAGAAGAAGAATCCTGGAATACAAAGGGAGAATAGCAAAGCTTGAATACTAATCTGTATCAGTGTGCATTGTAAAATTAATCTATACCTGTAATGTTGGGTGTCCTATCTGTGTGGATGCTGCTGCATTATGTAAAACTGTTAGTTTAGTGTTTCACAATTTAGAATGGGGTGCCCTGAGATTTGTGCATAATTTTAAAGGGTGCTTTAATATTTCTTCTGTTCTGGTTAAACCCTTTTGTCCTTCTAAAATGTAAAAACATCATTAAGCCATATGCTTAACTGAGCTAGGTAAAATAGTCTAACCAAATAAGACTTTGGGGTATATTAGTTACTGAGCTTTGTTTTTTCAGCACACTGGCTACTTGGTACAGTCACTTTGGGTTTATTCACATCAACTACATTGGTCAGCGCAGTCCCATGGAGAAAGCAGGTCACACCAACCCGCTGTGGGGATGTGCTCTGAGTGAAAAATGTAGCATGTTGAAATTTAGGTGGAAAAAGATTAAAACTTTAAAAATTTCACCCCATTGCATAAAGACATACACACACGTTAAAAACGCATGTTAGAGCTTTTGCCCCAAGGCTTGTAATATAAGTCTAAATCTCAACCCTCCAGATGCATCGGTATCCCTTCTATCATCACCATGATGATAAATTAATTGGTGTCTAGCTATATTTTGCCCAAAACTTCATTTAACATATTTGTTTATGGCTGGGCTGTGTTAGGGATATTTATTGTAAACTTTTCTGAGACAGGCAATTGTTCTTTTTACACTGTAAAACTGCTAACCTTGTTTTTTTGTTTTTTTTTTCCATCTAGGAAAGGAGATAAAAAAATTAATACATTTTTGTAATCTGTGAATAGTATATATAGTAGAGTAGTTCTTTTTAAATGTAATTTATTGTTGTGCCATGTTCTTTGTTAGGTGGAGTGCCAGTCATTTCTATTGATGGAAATTATTGGAGGCTCACATCGACATGCTGTTCAGGGGTCTTCAAAAAGGATAAGCACATTGTGGAAGGAGGTGTGTGATGATGATATGACTGACTATATTTTACTTTCAGATTACACCTTTTGTAAAAATATATCTCTCTCCTCCAGAATGCTGGTCTAGTGGAAAAATACCTTGATGCAATATTTAGCCTTGAGCCCAATCAGAATGTTGCTGGCATTCTTGGTCTTGCTGTACAGTTCTGCGTGAAGCAGAACAAGATGGATATTCTCAAAAAGTACAGGGTAGGTATGAGAAGTGAGAAGCTTTAAAGCTTTTTGTTATAGATATAGATAGCATGCATATCATACAGCGCTGAGCAAACTGTTGGCGCTTTATAAATACTGTATAATAATAATAATAGCATGCAACTACAGTATACATGTTCTGCTCTCAGTGAATCTGCTTGTTTTTCTAGAGTAAACTTATTGATTTCTATGTGAAGACGGTTCTCATGAGTAAAGTGAAACCTTCTAAATATATACTGGTAAGTCATGTAGCTCACTATATGTTTTATTAAGATTATATGAGAAAGAGATTAAGTAATGTTTATTAGCCAAGTAAACTTGGTTTCCATTAAATAATGATTTTGCTATGACTGATTGCAGGAGAGTTGCACACCTCTACTTCAGCATGTTACTCATGATGAATTTAAAGAACAAATTTTGCCCATGTTGCAAAAATCACTTCTTCGTAGCCCTGAAAATGTGATTGAAAGTAAGTATGTCTGTTTTATATATAGAGATACTCATCTGGTTATTTAGGTACTAGGTTTTATAGCAACCTTGTTTCAAATATAAATTGCCCCAAAAAAGACATGCCTGTAAAAGAACTGAGTATATACCTTTCCACTGTCCGCTCTGTCAAGCACAGCTCTATTGCTTAGAATTCGTCACCTAAAATCTGCTTAGAAAACAACACTTTCAGGAGTGTTAATCTTCTTTGTCACCAGCTGCACATGCTGGTTAGCAATGACATGAAGGACTAGTAAGTAGGGATGGTCTGACAGTTCGAGGCGAACATTGGCTGTTTGTGTGTTTGCTGTGCACTCAACCGGTAACGGCGTTCGGCAGGAAGTTCGCCCGTGTGCCCAAACAATGTAAAACACGCTTTGTGATTGGCCAAATCATTGCATCTGACCTGCGGTCAGGTGCAATGCTTTGGCCAATCACAGCTGAATTCTCAGGAAGATCCATGATTGGCCAAAGTATTGGTGACTTTGGCCAATCATGGCTCAGGGGCTAAGTCCAAGCCCCACACTATTTAAGGCTGCTGATACCGCTTCTTTACATTGTGTGTTTTTATAGGAGCGGTCTTGTGCAGTGTAATAGCCGTAGACTGATGCAGTGTTATAGCCGTAGCCTGGTGCAGTGTAATAGCCATAGCCTTGTGCAGTATTATAGGAGCAAAAAAAAAACACCAAGCACAAACATATTGCACCCAAGTACCAAAATCCCATCCCACACAGAAAAATAAAGTAGAAAAATACCCTAAAAAAATCCCCATCATGTCCGAAAGGCCAAGAAGGAGAGGCAGATGCTCACATGCAGTTAAAAGAGGGTAAGCGGCCTCTGTGTCCACAGTGAAAAGTGGTGGTCGTGGACATGTTGTATCCTCTGCAGGCAGGGTACAGTTGTCCTTTTTTTTCTAGTTCTGGCCATATTATTGAGCCACAACATTCAGAAGAGGCGGTGGAGTGGATAACTCAGCCATCCTCATCTTCTGTCATCCAGACTCATACTATTTTGCTTTGCACCGCAGCTGCCAAAGTGGCCTGTTCCACAGACTCCTTGTCCACCACAGCTCCTCCTTCCGTAGCTCCTTCATGCACGGAGGAGTAACTAGAATTACTTGATCAGTGTAAGTTACTTGCTGCTGGAGGATGCGCAACAATTTGAATGCTGGGATTTTGGTTCCCAGGATGAGGAAAGGAGTGACGTGAGCCTAGAGAGAGGGGGGTGCCAGTGAGGGAAAAGAAATTGACAGTCTTGTTCCCCCAGCCACAGCACACTGCCAGGTTGGCTCCATTGACGAGGAGGAAGGGGATGATGAAGTCACTGACCGTACTTAGGTGCCTGAGAGAACAGAGGAGGAAAGTGAGGAGGAGGCAGAACTCCAACGAGGCAGGATGTCCTCCAGGGACAGGCGTAAGGGCAGCCAACCGATGGCATCACACGACAGAGCTCACCCACAGGTCCAGGGCGCTGCTGACTCCTGGCAGACTTCCAAAAGTTCTCTGGTGTGGGCTTTTTTCAATACATGTGCAGCAGACCGAAGCATTGCTGTTTGAAGTCTCTGTCTGAAGCAGGCCAAGCGTGGCCAAAACGCTAGCCGCTTGGGCACCACATACTGACAAGACATATAATGAGCTGTCATGCAGCCCGTTGGCAACAGCACCTGAAAGACCCACAACTGAAAAAAGTGCAGACGTCTTGCTCCTCATCTGGGATCTCTACCTCTACTCTAAAATGTCAGGTCTTCTCAACAGCCTCCACTGAGAGGAGTGATGGTACAGCAGTGGATGCCACAGGTCTTGGCACCCCATCTGATAGCAGTACACCATTTCAGCAGGCAAATTTCGCTACCCCAGTCGCTGAACTGTAAAAAAAAAAAAAAAAAAAAAAAAAAAAAAAAATGTCCCACCCATCCACATGCTCAGCATCTAAATGCTAGCCTGGCCAAATTGCTAGCGTTACAACTGCTGCCTTTCCATCTGGTGGACTCTGCCCCCTTCTATGAATTTGCAGAATGTGCTGTACCACAGTGGCAAGTTCCGAAAATAAAATTATTTTCAAGTAAGGCCATTCCAGCTCTGTACCACCTTGTGGAAGGCAGTGTTTTGGCCTCATTGGACAGGGTGGTCAGCAGCAAAGTCCACATTATTGCTGACACATGGTCCAGCAGGCATGTCAGGGACATTACATAGCCTTCACGGCGCACTAGGTAACTCTGCTAGCAGCTGGGAAGGATGCAAGACAGGGTTCAGTGCTGGAGCCTGTTCTGCCACCATGCCTCCAAAAAGCTAGTGGTGATTCTACCACATTTCCACCCCCTCCTCTTCCTCCTCTTCTGCTGAATTGTCATGTTAACCAGCAGTGCTCCGTAAGCGTTCAAGGGGCTACGCAAGCAGTCAGGCTAAAAGATGCCATGCAGTGCTTCAGCTGGTCTGTCTAGGGGACAGGAGCCACAACGGGCCAGAGATTCTGTTAGCTCTACAGGGGCAGGCTCAGAGGTGGTTGACGCCATGGCAGCTTGAGCCAGGAATGGTTGTATGTGACAATGGCACCAACTTTCTCTCTGCCCTCCAACAGGGACACTTGACATATGTTCCATGTTTGGCACAGGTCCTGAATTTGGTGGTGCAGTGTTTCATGAACAGGTACCCAGACTTACAAGATCTTCTGAGGAAGGCCAAAAAAAATGTGTGGCCATTTCCGGTGGTCATACACAGCCAGTGTTTGGCTGGCTGAAATTCAACGGGAATTCAACATGCCCACTCGGTGGAACTCAATGCTGCAGAAGCTGCACACGCAGCAGAGGGCAATCAATGAGTTCCTGTGTGAATATGGCACAAGGACAGGCTCGGGAGCTTTTGAGGAGGCCACAAGGATGATGAGCTGTGACACTGCATGCATCAGTGACACTATCCCTCTAGTCTTTCTGCTGGAGCATAAGCTGCGTGGAATCATGGACAGGGCATTTGAGGCAGAACAGTGGGAGGAAGAGGAGGATTTCCTGTCCTCTCAAGGCCCGCTTTATGCAAAAACCATTCCTGCGGGGCCGCAGAACACACAGCAGGAGGAGGATTGCAGCAGCAGGGAAGTAGAGGATCACATACAGCCGTCTTCAAGGGGTTGTTTTCAGTCCCCAGAAACCCAGCCAGAAAAAGTACGTGGCTGGGAAGAGGTAGTTTCTGACAGTGTCATCCTCAGTGACTCAGAACACGGAATCTCCTGCACCTCAAACTGCATGGACTCCCTGATTCTGCAAAGCCTGCTTATGGACCCAAGGATTCGTGTTATCAAGGAGAGGGATCAGTACTGGTTGGCAGTCCTTCTTGATCCACCTTACAAGGGAAAGTTGCAGAGCTCATCCAGTTTTCACAGAGGGAGCAGAGGATGAAACATCTTGAGGACGCCTTGAAAAAAATTTGTGTAACACCTTTCCAGACAATGGGAGGTTACCATTTCCTGAACAATGTGTGCTCCGTTCTGTCAAAGGAAGAGCGGTGGAGAAGGTGGCAGGCTGACCAATGCCTTTAAACAGTTCTTTAGTCTTCAGCGCCCAGGGCTGTTAGGTTTAAGCACCCATTGGCAGCGTCTGCATCATATGGTGCATGATTAGGGGCAAGAATAGACTTGGAGACCTTTCCAACTAAGCATCCACTGGTTTACTGGGTCTTGAGGGTGGATCACTGGCCAGAACTTGCTCAATATGCCATCAAGCTACTGGCCTGTCCTGCATCCAGCGTGCTTTCCAAACAGACATTCAGTGCTGCTGGAGGTTTTGTGACAGATAAAAGAGTGCGTCTGTCCACAGACTCTGTTGACCAGCTGACATTTATCAAAATGAATCAGTCCTGGATCAACAGCAACTATCTTGCCCCTGATGCTGATGTTACTGATTAAATTTGTTAGGGATCTGTTATCCCTTGAAGACTGCCTATCCTATTCTTGAATCCTGATTTTGCTAGCTTCCAACAATGTTTTTGGTTTAGGGCACCACCAACACCCAAGGCCAAATTTTTCTGCACCTGTTTGACAGGTGCATCAAATTTCAATTTTTCTCTAATTGTTAACAATTTTTAACTGAAGGGCCCATTCCTGCGCCCAGCAATAGGAACTGTGAGGAGTTCGTGTTCAGGCACCACCAACACCCAAGGCACAATTTTAGGTGCATATAATTAGAATTTTTAGAGCAGGGCCCAATCCTGTACTCGTCAAGAATAGCTCTGAAGGGTTACGGTGTGAAGGCACCACCAACTGTGCGCCCGCCAAACACTCCACAATGCACTGTGCTCTCACAGTGCACAGAATCCACCCCACACTATATAAGACAGAGAGGAGAATACTCTCCCTGAAAAAAACCCAAAACAAAGAATAATTACAAAAAAATAATATAAGCAAAAAATACATTAAGAAAACAAATCTGGTATAGATTCGGGGGGGGGGGGGGACCCCACGCTGGGTTTTTAAGAAGAGGAGAGAAGAAAGTAGAAAAGAGAAGTTTTTTTTCCTATAAACATGTAATTTAAAAAAAAAAAAAATGTCAGTTCTGTTGTAGCAGGTTCTATACATTGGCATAGCCATGCAGTTAGATGAGTATATGCTTTACAATGTGTATCTCTTTTTATTGTGGGAATTTATCATCATGACATGGTCGCCTTAAGGCTTTTTTTTTTTTTTTTTTTTTTTTTTCTTTTCAGCCATTTCTTCACTGTTTGCATTTGTGACCATAGACCTGAGCCAGTATGCCCTGGAGCTTGGGAAATGCTTGGCTGGTAAGCATGACTGTTCTTTTATACTGTTATGTATTAAATAATTATTGATTTTGCAGTCCTTTTTGCAAATGTATATGACAACATTCTTCTACGGAAGCATCTATTAGATTTTCATACAGTTATACTGTTGTATTTTTGGTAAATTTATGTGACCAACATAATTTTAACTCTAGGAGCATCCTTTATAGTTTCATACTTATCTATGCATAAAATATATACACACTGTGTATGTATGATAAATTTATACTTTAGGACAATTGAAGTCTAATAACTCCCAGCTGATGGATGGAGCAGTAGTTGCATTGCAGAACCTGGCACATCAGTGTAGCGACCCAGCTGCGGTGGAGGCATTGGGGAAACACTTGTTTGCTATCTTGGGAGGTGAGGCAAGAACAATTTTTTTCCTTTTTTATTTGGCATTTGTAGAAAATTAGAAAATAAACCAGTTCTGTATTTCAGGTTCAGAAGGAAAACTCACAGCTGTTGCACAGAAAATGAGTGTTCTCTCAGGTAATGACAACTTTATAGTCTGCCATGTCTCCATTATAAGATAACAGAATTGCATTGTGCAGGAACTAGGGACAAACTATTCTGGTTAGCATTTTTTCTGTGCTCGCATTGAATACATTCTCTAAAGAAGCTATTGGAGACAAGGGCACCCTTCTCCCATAGGCTTGACCAAACCATCCTTCCTCTGTAAGGGATCTCTGTTCCATTTCAGTTTGATAGAATCCCAGAGCTTATAGGGAAATGAGAACCAGAACAGACCCAAATAGTTTTGACATGGAAAGTCATCAAAGTCATACAGAAGTTTAGGAGGGCCTGCTACGCAGGTTTGAATTATTTAAATGCCTCAAGTATGTTATTCATAGGTCATAAACAGTATCTCCACTGTCTTAAAGAGATAATTTTCATTTATTTTTTATTTTCCTTGAGGCTTTGGATTATCATCATCTAATGGCTTTGCTACAGTTCCATTTCCTATCATAACTCTGTTAGGGAACGGTATAGGTGCCTAGTGATATTGTTGGCCCAGCATTCCTATTAAGCGCTTTAGGCCCCATAGACCCAGGTGTTGAGGTCAGGCCTCCGTCTGTCTTTACTCCTGGTCCTTCACAAATCAAAGCATGGGTCTGTGTGTTTTGTGAATGGCTTGAAGGAGACCGAGTTGGAGGCAAGGCCACAGTGCTGAGGTCTATGAGACCTGGCTACACTGGTAGCTATACTAATTCCAGGCATGCACGCAAGGTGTAGAAAAGTAATTGAGTATTGTTTGATACTTTTTTATTTGCGCCAACATCCAGATTTTCAGGACAAACTTTTGGGGTGTTCCTCCTTTTTCAAGGTCCAAGGAGTACTAATACACACAGTTTTAGCACAGTGAATGCATAAAGGTAAAAAATATTTAGGCTTTAGAACCACTTTAAGGTCTGCCTGTACCCTATGCTGTTTACTATCTTAACAAGGTAATCAAGATACTAAAAGGATTGAAATACTGGTCTCTGTTTTGAGTCTGATCAGGCATCTGATTTTGCTATTGCTGTCTCTAGATGGATACTGGGTGGCAGCTTTGTGGTTTGCCTCCTAAAGGTAGTGATTATACCTTGCAGTTTGCAGTTTTTACTTGATTACCACAACCATCAATTGAAAAATAATCTCCTTATTTTCTCTTCACCTTATGCTGTAATAAGAAAAATATGGTTTCTCTTCTTTTTTATTAACATGAATTTCAAAATGTACTTTATTTTCTACAGTGTGGACTTTTTTATACAGCTATGCTGAATTAGTTGAGATGCCTCAGCACAAAGTGACTCTGACAGGAAACGTTTAGAGAAATACAAAACCGTGTATAGATATAACAGATATATACTGTATACATTAAAGGAGCTTGGTCACAAGCTAGAGGGCTTTGATTGAAGCAACCATTCCAAGAATAACAAACCCCATATTTATTCCTCGGTAATGGTTCAATGATTATATTATTAATCAATCCTCCAGAAGTAGTTTGTGGCTTTATGTAAGCTTTTTCTCAGGCATTTTGCAAAATGACAAAGTCCTGTAAATCAAGATAGTAAAGCAAGATGGATTGTTTTGTAGATTTGTGTGGACTTTCATGTCTATAAACATTGAATTATTTTCTCCAATATATTTTAAGGGATTGGCAGCCTAAGTCACCATGGAATTTCTGGACCATCAAGCCAAGAATTAAGCAGGACTGTGTCTGAGTTGTTTATATATCCCTTTTCTTCAGCAGGAAGGTGAGAACGCTCATTATCATTTAACAGTATTCAAGCATAATTACTCATGTTGTATCAGTTGTATGTTCGTATTATACTCAAACCTTTTCTCTTGATAAAACTCGAAACCCCTTAACTCATGAATAACACCCAATAAGTTTGAATAAATAAAGTAAATAAAATTTTATATAATAAATAAATTAAATTAAATATACACAAGTCCAAAACTAAAGTGTCCAAAAATAAAGTGTCCAAAATTTCCAAATATAGGTAATCCTCCAAAATATTTAGTGTATCCAACTTATTTCTCCATTCCAGATCACGTAATACATCGAGAAAATGAAACTAAAATAGTGTATTACCTTCAAAAATAATTCAATTAAATGTATATACCTTTACAGAGATAAGTATATACTTAATATGGGTAAAATAAATACCAGATTCAGCTGTGAGTGACACGTTAATCATGCAAAAACAAATCACTCTGTGTACACTCCAATAAATGTGACAAACGTACACAAAAAAAAAAAAATATTATATATATATATAAAATAAATCCGTAAAACGACATATAGTGAAATAAATCAATTCATCAATCAGTGAAGTGAACACTCCGTGACCACCTCTAAATAGTGGGATTAAATGCAATTACCCTCATGGAGTAACAACAAGCATCGCAGGATGTATTGAGTAGTCAATTTGAAGCTTCCATCCACCGTACATATAGTAACCTTCAGCTTTCCAAACTCCTCATAATAGTTATAATTAGTCAAATGTTTGAGAGAGAGAGAGAGAGAGAGAGAGAGAGAGAGAGAGAGAGAGAGAGATTTAATATATCTTACATTAGGGATTTGTTTTGAACAGCATAATTATCCAGACCAGTCTCAGCAGTCTACATGGCTAAGAACCACATTTTCCAGTTTTCTAAATGGCCGCGCCGCTACTTCCGTTTTGGCGTATTATGTCAGACGTCACGTCCCCTGTTTTATTATGTTTATTTTGGCTAGGCAATAGCTTCAGTTTGCTTTACATTTTGTCATCTTACTTTCATTGCTGGGATGTATCACATAAAGTTTAGCCTTAAGACCCTCAGATTGTAAAGATGGGCACACACTGTAAGTTTTTTTTCTTTTTTGTTTTGTTTTTTTTTTTTTCGGTCAACCAGTGGGCTGAATGAAAAAAAGAACTTAAATTTCCACTTCCACCCAAGGGGTACAGATGCAGAAATCTCCACTGCTGCGCTATTTTTTTTTTTTTTTTTTTTTTTTTTTGACAGTAGGGATTCCCCTCATAATACATTGATCAGCACTGCAGCAGCTGGTTAAATGCTGGTTTTCCAACAGGAGCGTTCAGCGGAAACCGATTGGGGCTACACACACATCAGAATTTAACAAGTTCCGCACGATACATGTATACTTCCCAATGCAGCCTGTCTTTATTTGTCAGAATGTTGAGCTATTGCCCTGGACGCTTGTGGCTAATTTGTTGTTAGCAATCATAGCTTCAGTGAAGATGCCAAAGGTCACACATTGACTCCAAGCTACTGATCACTGTCATTTATCAATGGTCACATGAAAAGCACAGCTTTTCTTAAGAAATATGTAAACCCAGCATTTCATATTCTTGATATGTGTGCCTGCTATACCATGTACTTGTATGAGAAAGTATCCTACTCTCTTTGTATTGCTTCCTTTGTGTGAAATCCCTGGTGTTCTTGCCAGTCCCTCTGCTTTCATATTAAAAACTGACCACACTGGAAAAAAAACTGTATTTTTAATTGTGTTAAACTTGAGAAAGGATGTGATCGAGCTTTGTTGCTTAAAGTAGAATTCTAGGCTGGGAATGACAATTGGCGGACAGGCGGGATTTTTAATGTAGAAGAAATATGCTTTGTCTCTTCTGCAATAAAACTACTTATGTGCCTGTCCGCCCCTGTACAGGAGGCTGCGCAAGCATCGGAAGTGACGTCATCTCATTGTGAAAATAGTTCCGCTTTAAAAACTCACTGTCTGCTTGCTTTTGCAGGGTAAGGTGATAGTGTCTCTGCAAAGGAGCCTCCCAACCACCTTATACTCACCTTTCTTGTACTCCCTGATCACTCTTTACTTGTTGCCACTGGTATTCAAATTACCAGTGTCAATGATTAGGGAGAGTGGTGTATGCCTGAGCACTGAGAGAGGGGAGGTGGCCACATGTACCTCCATACCTAGAAGCACCAGGTAGTGGCACCAGCTGCTATACAGGAAGGAATAGCAAGGAAGTACAGACAAGCTGAATAAAAATTTTAAACAAACAAAACAACACTCAAACCCCTAACTTCATATATGTAATCACCCCGTGTGCAAATATGTTTGTACATATATATTAGGCAAAAAAAATTAATCCACTTCTAAGCATACAAAATATTATAGTGCCTATTACTGTACAAATAATTTTCTAATAAAAGCACAATAAATAAAACTAATTTATCAATATACATTTTTTTCATGTTATCCATATACATGCATTTGCATGAGGAGTGATTACATACAGTCATGGCTAAAAATATTGGCACCCCTGCATTTCTGTCAGATAATGCACCACTTCACCCAGAAAATTGTTGCAGTTATAAATGTTTAGGCTTTCTCATGTTTATTTCTTTTGTATTGGTATGACACAAAAAAGTGGAGAAACAAAAAGCCAAATCTGACAAATTCCACACAAAACTCCAAAAATGGACAAAATTATTGGCACCTTCTCACAGCAGTGAAAATGATACCTTCCAATCTTTGAGAGGCCTGGAGCAGTTGGCAAAGAAGAGTGGTCCAAAATTCCAGTAGAGAGGTGTAAGAAACTCATTGATGGCTACAGGAAGCGATTGATTTCAGTTATTTTTCCATAGGGGTGTGCCACCAAATATTAAATTGAGGGTGCCAATAATTTTGTCCAGTCCATTTTTTGGAGTTTTCCATGGAATGTGTCAGAGTTAGTTTTTTGTATCTCCGCTTTTTTGTGTCATACCAATACAAACAAAATGAAGAATAAACATAAGAATTCCTAAACATTTGTAATTGCAACAATTTTCTGGGTGAAGTGTGCATTATGTGACAGAAATGCAGGGGTGACAATGTTTTTGGCCATGACTGTATATGAAGCTAGGGGTTTGTTTCAGGGAGCTGCTTTGTTTGTACTTTTTGGGATAATATACAGCAGCGATAAGACTGGGGTGGTGGTGCAGGATTTTTTTTTGTTTAAAAGGTGAATAGAAATGACTTGGGGGGAGTGGCCTTTGCAGAGACACTGTCACTTTTGCCCTGCATGTAAACACTGCTTTGTTGTAAAGTCCTTCTGTGCCCCTGACTGCCAAAGAACATAGAACAAGGTTGCTAATATGTGCCCAGCAATTGTAGGGGCAAAAACTGGTAACTGGTACCAAGGAGTACCTAAGGGTTAAAGGGGGGCATTCTTCACAATCATAACAGAGCTTTATCCCTAAAGGGAAACTATAATGTATTTTGACACGCTGCTGATGAGTCATTGAGTCGGGGCTTCATCAAAGAGACACACCGAGAGCTGAAAAAATATGAAAAGGAGCTAAATCTTCATCCACTGACTCAAACAGAAAGCAGAATATTAAAATGATGTATTTCTTATTAAACTGCTTGAAATATTTTTAAAAATGTTGGGTTTTTTTTTTTTTTTTTTAGTTCTGATTATATTAAATGATGTACAAAACCAACTTACATTCCCCTTAAGATTTGTTTCCGAATTTTGGCTGAATGGATTCACAGTGCTTTCACGTTGTGTACTATGGATTATATTAATATATTTGCCTTCCTTTTTTTAATTTAGTTCATGAAGGAACTCTTATTCATGCTGTGGCTGTGCTTACTCAGTGGTGTCAAAAATTCACTACAGAGGTCCCCAAGAAGCTAATAGAATGGTTTCAGAAAGCTGCCGCTCTCAAGACCAGCACTTCAGGTGTTAGGCATTCATATTTCCAGTGTATGTTGGTGTCATTTAGAGGTGAGTTTTTCTTTTTCCATTTACTGTATTATTTTTAGAACTATCGTTTCATTGGGGTTGAGGCCTTATCATTAACTACATAATGGGGGAGATTTACCAAAATTGGTGCACTCAGAATCTGGTGCAGCTGTGCATGGTAGTTAATCAGCTTCTAACTTCAGCTTGTTCAACTAAGCTTTGGCAGTAAAACCTGGAAGCTGATTGGTTTCTATGCAGAGCTGTACCAGATTTTGCACCATGCAGTTTTAGTAAATAACCTCCAATGTGTCAAATTTCTCCTCTAAAATACACTTGACATTACAGAAATATGTAGGATCCTTTCCAGACCTCTTGTTCTAAAAATTCTGACTGTCACATTGGTGCTTTGACCTATGCTAAGTCATTGATTTGAAACAAGTACAAAGATGTGAAATTTTGACTTAACTCGCGTCATGCTTGTGCAATGCCTGTGAAGCCGGGCACAGGCAGGCAACTAGCAGTTAGAGGTGATCCATTGCAACCATCTATTTTTTCTTGTGGGGGTGTACTCTAAAGTGATAGTACTTGCGTAAAGCAACTTTCATTGCCCTTGCCACACCCAAATGCTGTGGCTTTTCCAACTCCACTGCCTCACCTCACTAGCTAGTAGGCATGTGTAGGAAGGGGTGAGGTAGCTATATCACTTCCAAAAAGTTCTTGGTCTTTTCTGAAAAAGCCTTTACGTTGTAAAGGGGCAACAAAAGCTGCCACATGTATGTATCATAAGGTACCTGTGCTTTATATCTGCTATCAACATTTTTTTTTTTATTACTTTAAAAGCCATTGCACATTTTGAAAATTATACCTGTTCTGTATACTTCAGGTGATACATTGGGCCAAGCTCTAGTGCTCTTGCCTCTTTTGATCCAGACCGTAGAAAAGGCTGCATCACAGACTGCACAGATATCATTCTTAACAGAAGCCCTTGCTGCTGCTGTCCTTGTTTGCAGATTGTCTATCATTGAAACACAGATTGGTAAGATTCCACATATATCTTGCATATGCCTCTGTACTGCCGCTTGCTTTGTGTTTAGAAAGTAGTTAGTGATTAAAATGTGTTAATTAAAAAACAAAACATTTATGATCATACTTTTGTTCTTATTTTTGCAATCCTGTGACCCAGAACCAGCTGACAGCAGGCTTAAGCCAGCTGACTTCACAGAGCCGCTCCAGGCTCTGAAGGGATTTTGACCATGTTGTTGGGATTCACCCAGATGCCTGATCAACAGCTGGCTCAGACTCTCACAACGAGGCTGAGAGCCGGAGCCAGCTGCTTCTGCCCCGTCCCCAGCCCAGTTCTCTAGTGAATGCTGGAGGAGGCAGTGCAGGGGGGGGTGACTGAAAGTTGCTGCTGTCTGTTCAGAGCTAACTGAGAATTGAGTGTCCAGCAGTCATGTGATTGCTTAGTTTTCTGGCTTAGAGGTGGTGGGGGACAGCTGCAGTATCAGACCGATGCTGCTGTAGGGAGATAAGTATACAGTAGATGTTGTTTTTTTTTTTTTTTCGATTCCCATCCATCTTCTTTAATTTACAGGCCGACTTTATTTTTGTTTCTTTTTTTGTTAACAGAAAGCAAGCTAATCAACTTTTGGCAATTGCTGTCAGATGAGAAGAAGCAGATTTTCACCTCTGATAAATTTCTTTCCTCAGCAAGTGAAGATTGTAAGTGAACTAGAATTGTGCCTTCATGAATGAACATGTGGTGTCATTAAGCTATTATGCCGTGCTTTTGGTTGCTGCTGCTTTCATGGATATTCCTTCACTTCCTGTCCTGCAGACAGAACAGCAAATGAGAGGAAATCTCTAAAAAATATGAACAGAATTTCATCGTTAGAGAGCTGTCACAGGAGCAAGCCAAATGCTGCCTTTTACATGGACTTGATATTGGATAGTTGCAGCAGCCTAATACAGTTAACATGTTGACAGTTTCACTTTAAAGGATAATTCCACTATGCCTCATTTCTATCAAATCCCAGTCATTAACATAACTATAGTGCAATTTCTAAAAAGTGGAAAAAATTAAAGTGGTTCACCTGTGTGCAGTGGGCCCTCCAGCCCCTCCTCAATCCTTACCAGTGAGCCAATGCGGTGGGAAGCATAGAGCAGCAGTTCTGGGGGATTAGCACGCAGCGGTGCCTGGAATGCCAGCAGGAACCTGCAAAGAAGAGGATCGGGACTGTGCTGTGCAAAAGCACTGCACAGAGCAGGTGAGTATAGACATTTTTGTTATTTAAAAGAAAAAAACAAATAAAAAGCCAAGAAAGCTTTAGTGTCACTTTCAGTTTTCCCCAACATTTTGGACTTTTCCTGATGATTTAAAGGCAAGCCTTGATGTGATGTACTCTATAGCTTGTTGTGTGTGTGTGTGATAATTCTTTTTCAAAATTTGTTTACTTTGCTTATATTTACTCTATGATTCTAAATGTTCTGTTAACATGATATATTATATGTGGAATTGTATAAATATTTTACCCAACTAATAATTTTTATTTTCAATTTAGCCCTTACAACCTTGCTACAACTGTGTGAGAGACTCTTACTTGACCACATCCATAGGCTTCCAGATAACCGGGCTCAGTAAGTCTCAGATTTTTACAGAGCTCTGTCCTATAGTATAATGTATCAGAGAGATTTATTGGCCATGTGGATTTTCTTTCAGGCCATATTACCACGCTTTGATTACTGTTCTGCTCACTCGCTCATGGAAAGTACGTAGGCAGTGTCAGCAGACCATCAGAAAGTTGCTGGCATCTCTGGGTGGCAGTAAGCTGTTGCATGGCCTTTTGACAGAAATGAGAACTGTGCTAAATTCAAACAAGGTAGGTATAGTAAAAGTAGGGTAATCTTTTACAATAATAGGCTGTGTCATTTGACTCTTAGGCTGACTTTTTCCTTCTTTTCAAACAGCTGATACTAATGGATAGTGCACTAACTGAATTTGAAGAAGTGGCAGAGCAAGGAAAGCCTCATATATCTCCAAGAATCGTACAAGAGGCAATCTGTGTCCTCACTTGTGTGCCAGGGCTAGAAGCTGACTCAGTGGAAGCATTAAATCTGGCCCAGGAGCTTCTAGTTTTAGCAAATCATCCCTTAGTTGGTAAGTTGGGTAGAGCATCTGTGGGAAATGTAAGCATGAAAACTCGGCTTTTCTAAGTGAAATTTTTCTCTTCTGTGACAGCATCTACTTATCCAGACCTTTGGGTGGATCTTCTGCACAAAATGAAGATCGACCCTGCTGAGTTTATTAACAAGCACTTTGATGATTTTTTACCAGTAATCACTTCCAACGCATCTAATGATCAAGTAAGCGGACCTTAGAATCCAAAAATATATGTGCATGACTGCTTCTCTTCTCCCCTCTTTTCCTCTTCACACAGCACTCCAGCAGGAGCCATTAGCTTCTGCTGCTGTCAATCAAATGCAGTGAGGAAGAAGTGGGGGGGGAGAGGGCAGTCCTGCTGTGTAAGTCTATGGAGCGTGGCTCCAGAGCACGCAGACACTGTGTGCTTCCATAGCAAATTACTTGCTATGGGGACACAAAAATAAGAGGAGGGACCAGAGAAGAGGAGGATTGGGGCCACTCTGTGTAATACTACTGCACAGAGCAGGTGGGTATAACATATTTGTTATTTTAATTTAATTTTTTTTTCCCCAATTAAAGGGGGACTGTTTATAAGACCCTGTCGAGACTCAGGGGTTCTCATCTCTACAGGGTGAGGGGGTTCCATGGTTCTCCAGTCGGAGAAGAGAGGACTGATTTTCAGTACTTTAGGACAGTATTTCTTTTGGTGATATTTATTCACCACTGGGTTTTTTTATTTTTCGTGCTATAAATAAAAAAAAAACAACAAAATTTTGAAAAAAAAAAAAAGTGCGGTTTTCTTCGTTTCTGTTATAGAAATTTTGCAAATAAATCTTTCTACACAAATTTAGGCCAAAATGTATTCTGCTACATTTCTTAGGTGAAAATAACCCAAATCACTGGTTATTATTTAGTTGGTAGGAAAGTTATAGAGTCCACAAACTATGGTATATATCTGAAAATCAATAAATCCTGATGTACTGAATCTCACTTCTTGTGGCCCAAAACCGCTAGGACAGAACAAATACCCCCAAATGACCACTTTAAAGAAAGTAGACAGTCTGAGTTATTTAGTAAGAGGTATGGCAAGTTTTTTGGAGTTGTCAATTTTTGCCATAATTTTGTGGAAAAAATTTTCACAATTTTTTTTTCTTTTTTCTACATACTGCCACCAATGCAGTACAGTGTCGTATAACTGGTGCAGCGGTGATCAGGAACACTGACTGGTGACAGTATGTTAAAATAAAAAAAAATTTTGTGGAAAATTTTTTACATTTTTATATTTTTTTTCTACTCCTGTGACCAGAGTAATACTCTTGGAAAGGGATCAGGATTTTTTTTTTTTTCACAGTGATATGATTTTTGTTTTTTTTCCACATAATTGCTTATAACAACAAATTTTATTGGTATAAGCAAGCATTTTTTACTGAATGAAACATTCATTCAGTAGTTTTTGCTGTGATTGTCCACAGCTGATCACATGCTACAAATGGGCTGTCATTGGCCCAGTCTGTACATGTGACCAGTCACAGCCAGCAGCACAGTTGTAAGTAATGAATGGCATGAAAGGAAGCTATTCATTGTATACAACTGTTGTGTGATCTGCTGTGATTGGTCACAGTGATCACATGACACTGGCAACGGGTTTGGTGTAGTGATCTGTCATCAGCCGTGTCTAAAGCTTACAACTGGTGCTTGAATGAAGGTACTTTAACCCTATAAGCCGTTAGAAGCAACACTGACATTTAAAAGGCCAGCAGCTGGAGGCCATTGACACACAGTGTGGCTCAGCCCCGCCCCTGGTCCCTCACTGACTGTGATCAACAGCAGCAGGAGCCAATGTCTGCTACTGGCGTCTAAACCAGTGAGGAGCAAGAGGGAGCAGCAATGCTGCTCTCATGCACAGCTCTGGATTGACATAGAGTAAGCATGGGAAGGAGTTGAACATAATTGTAGACTGTGTGTTGTGCAGTTAACTGAACATTTACAAGGCAGCAGAAAATAAAATGAACTTAATTGTATTTATTTTAAATCAAACAGGCAAAATGCTTATGCAATACCCGCACCATGTACACCATGCATTTACAAATGATATTATGTTTATTTTAGGCAGTCCTGAATGCAGCTGGTACTTTGGCTCGCATATCTTCCCACAAAGTTCTTCCTCAGTTAGTTGGAGTCATAACTGAATCTCTGCAGAATTCAGCCTTGTCTCAAGTCACCAGAGAGGAATATGCCATTATGCAAACTCCTGATGGGGAGCTGTATGACAAATCTATTCTGCAAAGGTAAATACCTCTTGGACATAAAAGAAGATTTTCTGTTAACCGCTTGACCGCCAGAAGGTTTAACCCTCTTCATGAGAAGGGCATTTTTTTTTTTTTTGCTTTTCAGCACTGTGCTACTTTAACTGGCAATTGCTCAGTCATGCAACACTGTACTCAAATTACATTTTTTTATTATTTCTTCACACAAATTGAGTTTTCATTTTGTGGTATTTAATCACCACTGGGTTTTTTAATATTTGCTCTATAAATGGAAAAAAAGAGGAAATGAAGCCAAAAGTTAAACTCTTAACACTAAACCTACTCGCAGTCCCAGAGTTCAGTCCCAGGCTGAGCTGTGTACGGTGGCTTCTGTGTAGAGCAGAGGTAGCTGACAACGAATGCCCCATAGATAATCTCTGTGGGTGATGCAGGGGTGTGTAAATTTTTGAAAAAACTACTTGCCCAGGGTTAAAATCGGGGGCCCAATCAACTTGTCTATCATGACAATCTACTTGTCCAGATAAAAAAAAAAAAACATTGTAACCAAAATTGTATTTAAATCAGAGGTGATTTTAGGAATATCTAGGGCTTTTAAAAACAAAAAGGGCTTTATGGTGACTTAAACGTGTAATAAGGGAGGGGAGAGACCTTGCAGTGTGATGAGCACCGTTTAGGTGACTGTCAGGAAAGGGGAGTGTCGGGCTTATCTTTTATCCCTTTCGCTGTAAGGGCCCTTTTTGCGTCAAACTTTAGTACTGTATATTTTTTATAGGTGATGCTTTTAAAGCCCCTTATAGGTCATCAGTTTAATGTTACAGAGAAGGTCTGGTTCTAGAATTCTTGCTCTCATTCTGGCCTGCACAGTGATATGTAACGTGTATCGCAACCAAAGTTTTCACGCGTAGGCGCCCCGGCGTGTGCTTTTACGTTTGTACATGCGTAAATGGGAGGGTGGGGGGTGTATGTGCTTGGGTGTAACTTTAATTTTTTACAATTGTAAAAAAATGTTTTTAAATTTTTTTTTTCTTTAGATAAAAGACCAAAAGTTTCCTATGTGATGATTTTTGGTGACAGATTCTCTTTATTGAGACATCCAGGGTCTAAAGACTGTGGATGTCTCCCCTGTGCTCCACTGGATGTAATGCGGTGCACGTTGGCTGGGAACTGTAGGGGGCTGTGTGGAAATAATCGGGCAGCAGCGCTGCCGCCCGAATGCTTCCACCTGACAGGTGAGCCCTGCTGCTTGCCCACAGCAGGGTTAAAGGTTAAAAGAAACCACCTGGTGCCTGGAACTACATGTCACGATACAAATTGAACATCCCTGGTGACGTCATCTCCTATTCATTTCCTAGCCGTTGTCTGCGTTCTCTCTCTACACAGAAGCTGCCACTGGGGAGCGGACCGAAGCAGCTTCAGAATAGGTAAGTATAGCGATCTTTTCTTTACAGGGTTAGATAGATTAGGCTTAGACTGGGGCGGGAGTAGATTTAGCGTTGGATTGGCTGAACTTCCACTTTAAAGATTTCTAAGCAAGAACAAACTAAAATATATAAAAAAAAAAACATGTTTTTCCCTGGAGTTTAACTTGAATTGTTAAGGTTTGCATACACTTTAATTATGAACATATGAATCACCAGTATGTGTTAATGAGTTCAGTGATGGATAGAAGACGTAACTGGTGAAAAACACAATGCATATATTAACTCTTTCTGTAAATGATCTTACTGTTTACCATCTTGGTGACTGTTGTTTTTCCTTACCAGTGCCCAACAAGATAGTTTAAAAAAGGCCAACATGAAGAGGGAGAATAAGGCCTATTCTTTCAAGGAGCAGATCATTGAATTGGAGCTCAAAGAGGTGTTTTTTTTTAATTTGCTTAGTCTTATACACAAGAATGTGAACGTTTGCTTCTCTTTCTTTGCACATTATTGGTAAATTATGTAAATAGCATTCAGTTTCTTTATTAAGTTGATTGTACCGCAAGTTTCCCTTTTGTAATCTGAACAGTACTTTCATCGACTTTGTAAATTTATTACATTCAATGCTACTTTGCATTTACATTTTCTTTCTTCACATAATGCAAAGTTAATAGGGCTTTTTCACAACAGCTGCTGCATTGCAACACAGCAGCTGGTGTGCAGTTTGGTGGGTCTGAGATCAGTGCAGCGATGATGTTCTGCTCTTGGTGCATGGCACTGTTTTCTTGAACAGGGCACATAGGAGACAAGGCATTTTGCCTTGTCCATGCAGTGGGACTGCACTGAAAAAGATGCCCAATGCAGTCCACATGTGGTGGGAACAAACCCTCTATGATTCTCCTCCAACTGAACTAATAATTGACACCTGAATAGGGCTGCAACTAATGATTATTTTCATAACTGATTAGTTGGCCGATTTATTGTTTCGAATAATTTGATAAAAACCAAAAAAAAAATTGTGGTGTATAATTTAGTTATTATGTAAAGTTTAAGACCATTTATTTTTGAATAGCTGTATGCAGTGGTAAATATAACTAACCAGCTATATATGGTCAGGGAACAAAATATCTAATCCACCCTGAAAATAACAGGCAGAAGAGATACATTCACCGGCCACTTTCGCAAGGTCCACCTGTTCAATTGCTTGGTAACACAAATGGCTAATCAGCCAATCACATGGCAGCAACTCCATGCATTTATGCATCTAGATGTGGTGAAGACGATTTGCTGAAGTTCAAACCAAGCATCAGAATGGGGAAGAAAGAGGATTTAAGTGACTTTGAATGGGGCATGGTTGTTGGTGCCAGGTGGTTTGGTCTGAGTATTTAAAAAAAACTGCTGATCTACTGGGATTTTCATACACAACCATTTCTAGGGTTTTCAGAGCATGGTCTGAAAAAAGAGTGAGTGGCAGTTGAGTGTATAAAACTGCCTTGTTGATGTCAGAGGAGAATCGGCAGACTGGTTCGAGATGATAGGCAACAGTAACTCAAATAACCACTCACTGCAACCAAGGTATGCAGAATACCATCTCTGAATGCACAACACGTCAAACCTTGAAGCAGATGGGCTACAGCAGCAATAGACCACACCGGGTGCCACTCCTGTCAGCTAAGAACCGGAATCGGAGGCTAAAATTCACACAGGCTTACCAAAGTTGGACAATAGCAGATTGGAAAAACATTGCCTAGTCTGATGAGTCTCGATTTCAGCTGCAAAATTCAGATGGTAGGGTCAGAATTTGGAGTAATCAACATGAAAGCATGGATCCATCCTGCCTTGTATTGGTGGTTCAGGCTGGTGGAACATCAACATCAACACCAACTGAACATCATTTAAACGCCTACCTGAGTATTGTTGCTGAACATGTCCATCCCTTTTTGACTACAGTGTATGCATCTTCTGATGGCTACTTCCAGCAGGATCGTGCACCAGGTCACAAAGCTCAACTCATCTCAAACTGGTTTCTTGAACATGACAATAAGTTCACTGTACTCCAGTGGCCTCCACAGTCATCCGATCAATCCAATAGAGCACCTTTGGGATGTGGTGGAACAGGAGATTCGCATCATGGATGTGCAGCTGACAAATCTGCAGTAATCATGTCAATATGGACCAAAATCTCTGAGGAATGTTTGCAACACCTTGTTGAATCCATGCCATGAAGAATTAAGGCAGTTCTGAAGGTAAAAGGGGGTTCAACCTGATACTAGCAAGGTGTACCTAAATAAAGTGGCCGGTGAGTGTATATACACTATTATAGGTTAAATCTGGTAGATCTCATCAGACCTAGAAAGCAAAATTTTTATTTACAGAAAAAAGAACACCTTTAAACACTGTTTTGCAGATTTTCAGATAGAATTGTATTGTAATATTATGCATGACAGACCCCTTGTCATAGTCAGGTAGCTTGATGCAACCTGTGCCTGCTGTCACTAAGACATTTCGTAGGAGCAGCATGCTTTTTGTATCACCTGTCATGATGGGGTTAAAAAAGAAAAATTAGTCCTTTCTAGTATAAAAACCACAGATAGTTACTGCTGGTATAAGATGTTAATTTATACTGCGAAACAGTGAAAGCAACAGAGCCCTTAAAGTGATTGTAAATGTTGGGTTGTTTTCTTTTAAACAACAAACATTTCATACTTGCCTGCTCTGTGTAATAGTTTTGCAAAGAGCAGCCCCAATCCTCTTCTTCTGGGGTCCCCCACTGGCGCTTCTGGCCCCTCTTGCCTTCAGAGTGCCCCTATAGCTAGCCACTTGCTATGGGGGTACTTGGGCAGGCTCTATCCCTAGCCGCACTGTGTGTTTCTGTTGATGCATAGTGCATCTCAGCTCTGCTCCCTGCTGCCTCCTCACAGGCTGTGATTGACAGCAGCAGGTGCCAGTGGCTCCCGCTGCTGCATCTGAGTCCTGTGAGAAGGGAGAGAGAGCAACGCTGCTGCTCTCAGGTGCTGCGTTAGATCAAGATGGGGCTCGGGTAAGTATAAGGAGGGGCTAGGGGGAAGCATAGAATGCATTAAGGTAGAAAAAAAGTCTGCCTTTAGAATTGCTCTAAATCACTTCCTTGTCCTGCCTAGGACTGCGTGTCCCATGAGGCTCTGCTCCTCACACATTCACAAGCTCTCAAGCACTTACATATATGGACGGTAGACTTAGCTGTATGTGTACTGCACTGTATTTCCTGATATGTAAACAAACAATTCATTCTGTATGCAGTCCAACGAATAGGCTGACCTATTAATAGATTATGAAAATAGTTGGCAACTATTTTTATAATCGATTATGTCAATTAGTTGTTTCAGCCCTACACCTGAACAGTTCATACAGGTGTCTTTCAAAAAAGGTCAGAATGTAGAAGATGCTTGTGTGAACACTGATGTCATAGAACAAGTCATCATTCCTTTACCTCTTTAAACACTAGAACAAATGTTATTAAGAAGCAATTTTAAAAAGCCACTTACAGACAATTAAGCCGGCCATAAACAGAGCGATTTTTACTTAATTTATTTTTCTTCCTATAACCACGGGTTTCAGGAAAGAAAATTGCTCGATTTCCCCCATCAACACTGTGTTGATGGGAAAAATTGAGCAGTTTTCTTTCCTGAATCTCTCCTGCGGAGCCATTGTGTTCTCTCGGTGGGGACTAATAACCGCTAAAAATAATCGCATGTAAAATCCAACAGGCTGGTTGTACCCAAGATGATTGATCGATCAGCATGGGTTTATTCAGCCTGCCCATACATGGTTCAAATCTCAGCCGGTCCCTGCGGAATAATAGCCGCTAAAAATAATCGCATGTAAAATCCAACAGGCTGGTTGTACCCAAGATGATTGATCGATCAGCATGGGTTTATTCAGCCTGCCCATACATGGTTCAAATCTCAGCCGGTCCCTGCGGAACAGCCAAGATTCAAACAGTCTATGGCCGGCTTTAGTCTTAAGGGTTCAGGAATCTTCAGATGTTCAACATTGCTTTTTTGTTTCATGTTTCTGTAGGAGATTAAGAAGAAGAAAGGGTTAAAAGAAGAGGTTCAGCTAACAAGTAAACAGAAGGAAATGCTACAGGCACAGATGGAAAAAGAGAGTCTGATCCGAAAGAAGATGCTGCAGGTAAGCAGATAACAGAAAACAATATATGGGAAGAAACTGGATTACACCACAGCCACCTCCACTGGAAAGTTGTGCTGTAGTATTTATAAATGTATATATTCATGCTGTGAAAGACCTTGAGCCTTTTGCTATTCTATGAGTTCTGTATAGCTCATCTAAAGCCATTATTCTATAGTAAATCAGGAAGGTTAAAGTACAGAAAATATTTCTAGCTTAACTATAGTCTATGACAGTGGTCTCAAAACTGCTGCAATGGGGGGCCGGATGCAGCCCTTTGCCTGTTTTTATCCGGCCCTTGGTATCTACTGATGCCAACAATGGAACAAAATTCTCCCCACTGACACCAATGAAGGGGTACATTTCCTCCCAATGACACCAATTATGGGGCACAATTCCCCCCACTGACACCAACGATGGGGTGCTCTTCCTTCCTCTGACACCAAAGATAGGGCATTGCCTATTCCAACTGACATCAGGACCTTTTCTAGTCCCAATAGCTAAAGTCTGGCTCCCCTAGAGTCCGAAGGACAGTAAACTGGCCCTTTCTTTAGAAACTTTGGAGACCCCTGGTCTATGGTAATGCTGGATAAAAGCAGAACACTTTCTGTTATTAAATTACAGAACAGATCAATGCAGTCTACTACCAACAGTTTCTAAACTTGAAAAGGATGAAAACTGTTGGTGGTTGGTTGCCTTGTCCTGTTTGGAAATTTGTGCAATCGAAAACTAGTTGAAATCACATAACACTAAGCTAATTTCTTCTGCGCTTCTCTGTTCTTTTCCATACTGCAATGTGTAAAGCAGTTCAACCAAAGCATAGGTTGTCTCTGTTGATGGGTGACATTAAGCCAGTTGCTCAGTGGCTCTGCCACTGCACAGAGCCTGCCCTTTGACAGAACCCATATCACCTTCTGACTCCGCTGTGTGCAATTTCTGGTGCTTAAAGGGAGCCTGGAGGTGCTGTAAGACGATTTGACAGCATTATATATTAGCTTAACGTAAATCTGTGCTTTTACCCATGTAGGGCAAAGCAACTAGTTCATTTTATTGCAGATTTCCCCAGAAGCATATACTTTATTCTTTTTGTGCTTTGAAATCGTAATTTTATGATTTGTGCCTCTATTATTTTATACTTAATCTCATTATTCTTCCCTTAGTTGGACACAGAGTTGGAAAACAGTATTCGACTTCTGGACTGTATAGTACAACAGAGTCCTCCTGGTCTTTCTCAGCACATTCCTGTTCTGACTAGCTGCTTTATGCCGTTGTTGAAGTCTCCATTAGCTGCTGCTCGAATCCATGGTCCATTTGTGCAGTTTGCTGCTTGTGTCATGCCAGCCCATTTGAAATCATTTGGTAAATATCCTTATTTTTTTATTACTCACAGAGCAGTTGTAAAAAAATGATGTTGTTTTGATAAAGCATCTCTATGAGAATTGGCAGTAATATATATGTTTTTATTCCATAGGAAAATTGGCTGCTTACATAACTCTTCGCTTGTTGAAGCCAGAATGTAACTTGGATGCTGCCTGGTGTCAGGAAGAGCTGCCAATAGCTGTGAAGAGAGCAATAAATCTCTCTTACATTCTTACACAGTGCCCAAACGCAAGGAAGACCCAGGTAACGAATATAATTGCTAGAACTTCAAGTGCGCAAGAGTATACCTTTTCACACAATATTCCTATTCACGTTATTGGATTTGTCCATGCTTACTCTGATGTTTGCTGTTGCATTGAAATGTCTTTGGGTTGGGAAGCCAAAACAAAACATTTAGTGGAGATACAATCTGGTGGAGTATTATCTGTGTAAAATTGTCAAATGTATAAAGAATGCCATACACACATGGGAATGATATTATAGTGTGTGTATATAGGTTGCTGACTAATAAAAATGCTATCCTGAAATTTTAGACTGTTTACTCTTTATGGATCCAAATAAAGTTTAGGGCTATCTGTTAAATCCAGAAGTTCAAAATAAATACATTTATTTTATGGGGTGATAGGCATCATGCCTTTACAAATGTCTGAATTTATACACAAGACTTGCATTATTTTTATTTAGACTATGTGTATATTTTTTAATATAGGGGCATCTCCTTTATCAGCACCAGCATTTTCCTTTGTCTTCCCTTTTTTGAAAATGGTATTATTGGAAACAAGCAATAACAGTGAAGAAACTGAAGAGCTGCTCGTGCAGACCTTGCAGATAATCACTGTTCATTCCCAGCTAAGAGCCTCCAAGGCACATATTGAGTTTATGGATGAGGTTAGTAGAGTTTGTGCATCAAGCAGCCTGGCATCTCTTGGTCAGAACATTCTAAAGCATAATACTACCTACCAAATTGTATTTTCTTTTTAGGATGGGCCAGAATTCCTGCCCCGTGCAGATATGCTACTCTTGTTGACTAAGGTGATAGGAACAGCCTGTCCAAGATTGCAGGTGAGTGCAAGTTATCTGTAAAGTAGTGTGGTTTTATAGGTATGGAAATAGATTTGGGCCAAAATAAATTTCTTTTTTTGGTCACTGGGAAGTGAGCCTGACTGATGGGAATATACAGTATGGCCCTGCCTGCAGAAATCGCCACACAATGCATATCAGTAAACTTATAAAAATACACTGCTGTGTGCTGGAATGTGGTGTTAACGCATTGCAGAGCTTGCTTTTCTTCTCTGCCCCCCCCCCCCCCCCCCCCCCAACTGTATGATTCTTATGCTCTGCAGCATGTTGCAAAGTGTTACAAAAATGCAAAGGTGTCCTGTTGTTTTCAGTGCACACCAATGCAGCACATTGGTGTGAATTTAAGCCATAGGGCAAACTGTCTTTTTCTTGCATTAGCTAATGCAGCTGGTGTGAAGACCCTAGTAAATATAGTTGCCAAAGATCTTTTATCCCACAGTTCTTACATTGTTAGCTTAGACCTTTTGTTTTAATACTCTCCATTTATTTTTAGTTTTATTGAGTTGTATTTAGAGTCAGACAAGAACTTAACGGTTTCTTCCAAGCCAGCATGTTCATTACTGTTTTTCTGATAAGACCTAATTGCCCATTGTAGGGCATCCCTCCTACACAACAGTTCCTTTTTTCCTTCAAAGAGTACATTAAGCCCTATTAGAAAAGATAAGGCAGATTACAAAGAAAACTGTTGAAGAGAGTGGTTCTAAACTGAACACTATAGGCCAAACTCTGTCAGGAGCAAACTGGCCATATATATGTAGAAGTATCTCTAAAGATAACCATTTATGCTAAAACACTTAATAGAAAAATGCAAACATTGCATCAAAGTGTTTGAAATTAATATCCTAAAAGTTGATATTTAATATTTCAAAAGTTACAGGTCCCCTCTAAAGCCTTTTGACTACTGTCAGTGAGGCAGTATAGCCATATGGGTGCAGCATTTTTCAGAGAGACGCAGGTGCATCTCAATGAACAATCAGAGTCAGTGCTTTTCGGTCTCTAGTAGTCTTTTTTTATTTGCAGATCTTGGCTTCCAATGCACTTACATCATTATGCACAAGCAGCGGAGGAGGAGAAGGCTGCACATATGCAGAGCAGGAAGAAGTCGATGTTTTACTTCAAGCTTTGCAGTCGTCTTGCTCAAATGTGCGAGATGCTGCCTTGAGGGTAAGTAATCCTACACAAGCTTATAACTTTCAATGTTAATAACATGATCTATAGTCTTTCATGTCCAACAAGTTGTACAGTCATGGTTAACAATAACCATTCATATTTAAATCATTCTTCTGTTAGGGACTAATGGAACTTAAGATGGTTTTGCCAACACCAGAAACTGATGATAAAAACGGATTGGCCTTGTTGCACAGGCTTTGGGTGGTGAAATTTGATGTGGAGGCTGAAATAAAAAGACAAGCTGAAGGGTAAAGTGTTTTTCCCTTTTTTATCATTTTTTTTTTTTTTTTTTTTTTTTTTAATGAACAGAGGATAATACCTCACAAGATCCTGTGTGATACGTAACTCGTAGGACAGTAATAAATATGCATAGCCAGTAAGGAATAAGCGTACATCCAAACCTGCCACCTAACTCTGTTTACTTCTGTACTTATGATTCCTTTTTTATGCATGGAGCAGATGACTAAAGCGTTACATTTCAACTGTGATGGTTTGCTGGAAGTCTCCAATCTTATTTTTCGCATGTGCCTCCTGTCAGTCCATATGCATAGAGCACTTTGGCTAAAGTGCTGGACTACAGAACGTTTGTGCAAGACGTGTTTGATCCACATGGCCTTCCAGTGATAATGTCTCTTTGAACTGGCTCTTGATAATATCAAGGATGCTGGTAGTAGCAGGAGCTCCCCTCTTCCTGTCTGTTCACGTTATAGTAGATCTTTACTGAAACTCTCTTAAGTCTTCTGGATCAAATTGTCACTGTCCCAGTCTCTACAATGGCATGGTTCCAGGGGTGTTACTTCATCTTGTTCATTGTTGTCAAACCGGGGGGCGGGGATCTCAGAGCTTTCAATGTTTTTCATTCGGGTTCAAAAATTCCAGATGGAGTCCACCAGATCTGTCATCTCCTTCCTCCACCAGAAGACTTTCTAGCTACTGTGGACATTAAAATTTCTCACTTGCATGTGCTCATCTGTTTATCTTTTAAGGGCATCTGGAATTTCTATGCTTCGGCATGGGATCTCTACATTAGTTTGTGGCCCTACCCTTAATCCTCTCCAGTCTTAGCCCTATTACAGACCTGCTGCATCCTCATTGTTGGATACTTCGATAACCTCCTGTGTAGGAAACATCTGGTGAGGGGTCCATCCTACAACATATCTCTAACTGTCCATACGTTACAGAGGTTTGGATAAATTGTGCAACTTCAGAAATCGTTGCTTTAATTGACTTCTCTCAGGCCATCGTGTTCCTTCCCCAGGAGAAGTTTCATGCTCTTTGGTCTCAAGTTCAAACTCTTCAGTTTGGAAGTCGTCTTACTCTCTCTACTTCTGCATTAGATCTTGGGGCTGATTGTAACCTTCCTTGTAGCTCTCTCTGCCCAGTTTCACTCCAGACGTCTGCAACACAACAGTCTTTCATCCTGTGACAAATAAGTCTTTTCTCTGGGCAGGCCAACTCAGTTGACAATGAGGACCAGACTGTCCTCAAGATGCCGGCTCAGGAATTTGGCTCTGGAATCAGGGAAGTCCTTTCTTCCCATCTTTTGGAATTGTATCATGATCAGTGTTAGCCTGTCAGATTAGCAAGGAGTCCTGGGCAACCTGTCAGTGCAAGGGGCTTGGTCATTGGAGAAATCTAATTTCCTGTTAAACATTTTGAAGCTTCAGGCAGTTTGGCTTTCCTTTCAGCGCTGGAGCAACCTGTTGGAGGGACATTCAGTCCTGTGGTTTTCTACACCAACCATAGGGGATGAGCCAGAAGTTTTGCTTCAGCAGAGAAGTTGAGCATATCCTGCCCTGAGCAGAACTGCATTGTCCAGCTTTGCCAGCTGTATATATATATATATATATATATATATATCAGGTGTAGACAATTGAAAGGCAGATTTCCTCGACTGGCAGCACCTGGACCTAGAAGAATGATCCTGACACCTGGAGGTGTCACAGGTGAGTGGACACCAGATGTGGGCCTTCTTTCCTTCAGAATCATCATCAAACTGACTGGTATGTATATAGGTGCAGAGATCCCCTAATGGAAACAGTGGATGCTCTAGTTGCTCTGTGGAATCAGTATGCCGTGATCTATGGCTTTCCTTCTCTGAATCTTCCTCCTCTTCTGCTCTGTTGGATCGAGGTGGAGGTCATTTTGGTGATCCACATTGCTCTGGATTGAACCAGGTGAATGTGGTACTTCAACACAATAAGAGCTCTAGCATGCAACCTGTGAGACTTGTATATGGAGTGTCAGTGAGTGCTATGGGTGTGTAGAAAGGTATAAGCTGTTGGCACTAAAGGACCGCCCTTGGTATCCTCACTAGTGAATGAAATATAAAAGGTGCAGCGCTAAAGTAATGAATGAATCAAATGAAATACTTCTAAAACATGTGCATATACATAAATAAATAATAAATGATGATAAGGTGAATAGAAGCAGCAATATAACAAACAGCAGCCATATTAAAAAGCAGACAGTGAGGCACTCTGATCAGCGCTACCAGTCTAAAGTGTGAGAGTTCATGGATTATTAATATAGCAGTAATTAATATACTGATAAGTGTGGTGATGGTATACGTGACACTGAGTGGTCAACGTTGGGTGATATAAAATGAATAGTGACTGATAGTGAACATATATCAAATGACACAATTGCGATAAACAATAGTTATAAAAAAAAGTCCATAAAAATAAATCCGTGAACAGGTGACATCCAGTGCTGGTGAATCCGTGAAAGGTATTCCTTTATATGCACTCACCTTAAGTGCATATAAAATGCGCATGAACAGCTGGTTTCTTCCCAAGGTAAGTCAGGCAGCACACCCATCAGTCACAGTCACAGGCTATCTGGGTCTACTGTAACAAGGGACAGTTTTCCATCCTGCTTCATGGTTGCTAGCTTTAATGGCATGGCTGTTGAAGTCCAGATTCTAAAGAACAAGGGCATAGCAGAGCCTGTAATTCTGATACGCTGAAAGCAAGGAAGTCTATTTCCCCTAAGGTCTATAATGGGAGATTTAAGGCTTACTTCACTTGGTGTAATTCTAGTGGCTTTCACTCTAGGAGCTTTTTGTGGAACATATCCTCTCCCTTCTGCTGGGTCAGGACCAGCGTTTTGCATTCTGCACTAGAAAGGGTTGTTCTGTTGGACTCTCACTCTTTGCTTAAGACCAAGTACAAGGCACTACTGAAGATCTTCCGAGGTCAAAGGGACGTAAGCATGATGTGTCTTTCATCTGCTGGTTTTATGTTTCCTTGGCCAACCACTGCATCTATGGTCCTCACGGTTGTCTGTTTCTTTGTGCTTCTTCGAAAGAGCTTGATCAGCTCATCTTGAAACCCCAGTCTTCTTTAAAATCTTGGGGAGAGGCTGCACTGATGCAATATAACTACCTCAAGTCTTGTTGCTGTCCTCAGTTTTGCCCTGGTGTATGACCTGTGACATGAATCTCTTCCGCAACCTCATCTCTTAACATCAGAGTTTGGCTGTTCATCACCCAGTTCTAAGCCTCTTAAACAGCTTTTGCTGTTTCAGTTAATGACTGTTTCAACCTACAAATGAAATTGATGCTCACTAGCACCTGCTTGGCATAATTGGTTAGTCAAACGCCTGACTAATCAAAAAAAAAATCCCTGACTTTGTGCAAGTGTAAGAATTGATGCTGGAAGCCAAGGAGTACTCACACAAAATATTGATTTGATTTCTGTTCGCTCACTTTGTATTTTTTAGATTAATAAAAATAAACAATATGACAAAAAAATATATTTTTGAAAGCTTTTTTACTTTACAGCATTTCTTCACACCTGCCTAAAACTTGCACAATAGTGTGTGTGTGTATTTATTTTTGTATTTATTTTTATATGTGATCACATGACTTCTGTTGTCAGCTGCATAAGGGACTTAGAGAGCTGAGGGTGAAAACTGCAGGGGGTGTATCAGCAAGAGGCAGAGAAACAGCACTACACTGATCTTCACAGAGAATAGCTGTTCAAGGGGGGTGTTTGAACCTTGGTATACGGGTAGGCTGTACTCCCAATTAGAATGCAAAGAGAAAATTTGACTGTGCTGGGATGGAAGGGCTTCCATGCCTAGCATGCTCAGTTTGAAATAGGAAACCAGGAGGACGGGCAGGATCAACAGGTCACAAAGGAAGCAATGCAAGAGAACATGATACTTTCATGCAAGTATCTGGTACAAGAGAGCAATATCAGGATTATGAAATATTGGGGTAACATACACTTTTTTGATCAAATCTTTATTGATTTTTGGTGTGCACAAAATATGCAGTAATACAACATATGCAATACCGTATTTTTCGCTCCATAAGATGCAGTTTTTTCCCCCCAAAAAAAGGAGGGAAAATGTCAGTGCGTCTTATGGAGCAAATATAGAGCGGCCGGTCCGGTATTTTCACCGCCGCCGTGCCAGAATACCGGGCCGGCCGCTCAGCTCTGCAGTGGGACCTTACCTGTTCCTCTATCCAGCGGCGCGCTGTCTTCCCGGCTTCTGTAGTGTGCGTGACAGCCGGGTCCCAAGTGCGCATGCACAAGAAGCGGTGCTCTTTGTGAATGGTAAGGCGGTACCTGGGACACATGACAGATCCCAGAAGCCGCCGGACCAATCACAAAGCGCAGCGCTTCTCGCGCATGCGCACTGGGCATCGGGCTGTCCACCGAGCGCCCACACTACAGAAGCCGGGTAGACAGCGCGCGGCTGGATAGAGGAACAGGTAAGATCAAAGAAAAACTCTCAATTTCAGGTACCCGCTCCCCCTCCCTCCCCAAAGGTCAGCAGTCATCTCCTGTACTGTCCGCAGTCTCTGGTCATCCCTGTACTGTCCGCAGTCTCTGGTCATCCCTGTACTGTCCGCAGTCTCTGGTCATCCCTGTACTGTCCGCAGTCTCTGGTCATCCCTGTACTGTCCGCAGTCTCTGGTCATCCCTGTACTGTGTCCGCAGTCTCTGGTCATCCCTGTACTGTGTCCGCAGTCTCTGGTCATCTCCTGTACTGTCCGCAGTCTCTGGTCATCCCTGTACTGTCCGCAGTCTCTGGTCATCCCTGTACTGTCCGCAGTCTCTGGTCATCCCTGTACTGTCCGCAGTCTCTGGTCATCCCTGTACTGTCCGCAGTCTCTGGACATCCCTGTACTGTCCGCAGTCTCTGGTCATCCCTGTACTGTCCGCAGTCTCTGGTCATCCCTGTACTGTCCGCAATCACTGGTCATCCCTGTACTGTCCGCAGTCTCTGGTCATCC